ACCAATGTCATAAAACAGCATGTGTGTTACTGTTACATGAGAAACTATCTGTTCTGTAAGCCTTCACCTGAAGTACAATAAAATATTAAAAAAAAAAAAAAAGCTGAATTGGCAAAAGTTGTGTGATAGATATGTTTACAACAACAACAACAAAAAAGAGTATGCTTATGTACAACCAAACACCTTATGGGATTTGGTTCCTTGGTTTGGAGGTTTAGGGTCATGGTTTTACAGGACATCCCAATTAACTGGCCTAATAATGTGTTTAGTGTTACTATTTTACCTCCTAGTTCACTGGAAACCCTGGTGGTGTAGTGGTTAAGGGATATGGCTGCTAACCAAAAGGTCAGCAGTTTGAATCCACCAGGCACTCCCTAGAAACCCTATGGGGCAGTTCTACTCTGTTCTATAGGGTCACTATAAGTCATAGACTATGAGTCGGAATTGACTTGATAGCAACAGGTTAGGTTAGGTTAGTTCACTGTGTAAGTGCCTGGGGTCTTAAAATCTTGCAAGCACCATCCAAAGCACGACAATTGGTCTCTATTCACCTGCAGCAACAGAAGAAGGAGAGTCAGGAATAGGAGCAGGATATGGAATGTGTGGCTAATTGCCTCCATGAATAACTGCCTCCTTTGCCACAAGACCAGAAGAACTGGGTGATGCCCGGCTACCATTTTGATCAAAGATTCCATAGAAGAATCCTGATCAAAAGAGGTGAAATGAAGAACAGAATTTCAAATTCTCATGTGCTGTAGACTTTCTGGAGCCATGCAAGGTGTGTGGACCCCTGAAATTATTGCCCTGAGATAATCTTTAACCCTTAAACCAAAAATATCCCCTGAAGTCATCTTAAAACTGAACAATACTTTAGCTTAACTAGTAAAGAAGTTCCGCCTTGAGCATTAAGCTCTTTGAAGAACTATCCCTATGGAATCAAATTGACAACAGCAACTCAAAAGATTATGTAGGAACCTTAGGGGGCACTGAGTTTATGTTAATGAGGGAGGAACAACTCAGCAAAGCAAAGTGAGAATGGCTGCACAACTCAGAGAATGTAATCAATGTCACTAAACTGTATGTCATGGATTGAGTTGTATCCCCCAAAAATATCTGTCAGCTTGGCTGGGTCATGATTCCCAGTGTTGTATGATTGTGTAATCTGATGTGATTTCCTTATGTATTGTAAACTCTACCACTATGATGAGATTATATGTGATCTCCTTATGTGTTGTAAATTCTTTCACTGTGATGAGATTATACTGATGAGGCTGACAAGATTAGATGGTGTCTTAATGCAATCTCTTTTGAGATGTAAAACAGAGAAGTGACCAGAGACACATGGGAACCTCATACCACCAAGAAAGCAGTGCCAGGAGCAGAGCATGTCGTTTGGACCAGAGGTTCCTGCACTGAGATGCTCCCAGGCCACGGGAAGGCTGATGCATCATAAGGACATTCCTCCAGAGCTGACACAGAGAGAAAGCCTTCTCCTGAAGCTGACACCTTGAATTTGGACTTGTAGCCTACTGGACTATGAGAGAATAAACTTCTCTTTGTTAAACCATCCACTTGTGGTATTTCTGTTAGAGCAGCACTAGATGACTAAGACATTGTACATGTAGAAACTGTTGAATTAGCGTATGTTTTACTGTGTATTCTCAACAACAAAATAAATAAAATTTAGACAAAAAGTCCACTTAAGCACAGCTTTAGCTGCATCCTACCAGTTTTGATGCACCATGTCTTTATCATCATTCAGTTAAAAAATATTTTTTCACATTGTTGTCTTTTCGTCATTTACTCATGGGTTATTTAGAAGTGTATTAATTTCCACACAGCTTAATTCCACTGTGATCAGAGAAAGTGTTCAGAATTATTTTAATCATTTGAAATTTGTTGAGGTTTGCTTTCTGATTCAGCATATAGCCAGTTTTGACAAATACTTCACATATTTTTGTTTTACTATTGTTATTGACTGTAGGTCCAGGAGAAGGAGAAGGAGACGGAGAAGTCATGCCCCAATTCTAAGGTCAACAGTACGAAGTGATGCATATCACTTCAGTCACTCTGTTGGCAAGAACAATTCACAATATACATGCCAGGCCTAATGCAAGGAGGGATGGGAAGCTGAATTCTCAGACAGGCTTTTCCCTCTGTAGGTTAGCAAGATAGTTGCAAGCTTTGCCACACAGTCTTCCACTGAACATCTTCACTTGGAAAAACCCAAAAAATTCGTCTCTCTCCACAGCTCGGAGAGAATCCTCTCAGAGAGAATCAGACTGGCCTGGTTCAGATAATCTTCCAAAGTTTTAGCATCACTATGGCAAGTTGGATGGAGTAGTCCTGTCAGGGTAGTAATTTTCTGTGCCCATAACGAACATTGTTAATCCCCCAGAGCCACATAAAATGGGTTCCGAGGGGGAAAGATGAGTTCTATTATCAAGAAAAGTGGTCATGAGGGTGCTGTACAAAAACGAAAACAAAACAAACAAAACCATTGTTCACTGCAAAACTCAAGTAAGAAAAAAGAGAAAAGTAACCATTGGATTTGGAAATTGAGAGGTCACTGGTGGCCCTAATGAAATCCACGGCTGTGGAGTGACAGAGAGAGAAGCCAACTGGCAGGGGTGAGTGGGTGGTGCAGGAGTGGGTGCAGAGACGTGGAGCTTGGTGAGAGTGGATGTCACCTTCAAGATGACTGCCTGCGAAGAGCAGCAGATGCAGTGTGGCTTGGCTTGGGATTCCCAAAAAGGAAACCCTGAAACCAAGTTTGTGTGCAAGTACTTTATTTGGGAGGTGATCCCAAGAAACAATTACAGAGAAACAGGCTTGTGAGGCAGAGAAAGGAAGGAAAGCAGAGAGTGCATTAACAAGCAGGTTACAGCTGTGGACAGTTAGTGCTCTCTCCTGCAGTTGGTGTTAGCTGTCCTCCAATCAGCCCCCTACTCATGGTGAGTCCTTGCACAGAGAAACACTGCCCCATCCTGCGCCATCCCGTGATTGGCTGCAGACTGGACTATTGTGAGCCCTGGTGGTGCAGTGGTTAAAGCAATCCACAGCTAACCGAAGGGTCAGCGGTTGGAAACCACCAGCAGTTCCTGGAGAGAGAGATGCGGCAGTCTGCTTCCTAGAGATTTACACCTCGGAAACCTTATGGGGTCGCTGAGTTGGAATCGACTCCACTACAGTGGGTAGTTTTAGGGCTTTCATAGGCTGATTTTCATAAGTAAATTACCAGGCCTTTCTTCCTAGTCTTAGTCGAAGCTCCGCTTGAAACCTGTTCAGCCTCATAGCAACATGCAAGCCTCCACTGACAGAGGAGTCGTGGTGGCGGCACATGAGGTCTGCAGCATGGGAGAGGAGAATTCTACCCCTGAATCACCAGTGCCTCGTCTATACTGCAGAGAACCCCCGAAATACAGTGTAGAATATATGCCTCCCCGCAAATTCACGGAAGGAGTGAGGAAGCCTGGGCATTATCTACCACTCATATCCCTCACGGAAGGAGGGCTGCTGGCGGGATGTAAGCACCACAGCACTTCTAGGCCTGCCCCACCTCTGCACTGAGCAAGCTCCGTACAGCCAGTGAATGCCCTCAGGCGGAGGCTGAGATGAAGATGTGTGCGCAAGTGGGCAAGTGGCCGTCCCTGGCGATATGCGTAAAGATGAGAGCGAGGAGGGCGCTTTTGTAATACGCTAGGGAGATACCACGAACACTGGGACAACAGGATAGAGAGAGGTCCCAGCGTGCTCTTCCTCTAAAGGAGAGCAAAAGGGGCGAGGCGCATGGCTGATGCGGGTAATTTATGAGGGGTGTAGGAGGTTTGCAAGAAATCTGATAGCCATCGTCCTTTCTCTGTCCCTGAAATGCATCAAAAACTATTTCCTAAAAGGAAGTTAGAGAACCAACGGGACTTTAAAGAACTCCTCCCCACCACTCAGAAGCGGAAATCGAAGTCGAGAGAAGGGAAAGCAAGGGGACAGACAACAGTAAACTGTAGGGCGGAAGTACCCCCGGGGCTGTTTTCACCAGAGAAGTCGAAAGTCAAGCGTCCGGCCGTGTGCCACCCAGGGGGTGTCAGCAGATGAAAGGAGCTCTCGACCCAAACGAACCAACAGCTGCCAGAAAGCCCTCGGTTATCTGTTGTCGTTAAGCAGGGAAAGAACGAAAGCGAATCTTCACTTAGATACAGGATAAGACCTTAACATTTTTTTATTTTTATTCATAAAACGTCTCTTTGAAATAGTAAGTGGAAGACTCGGAAGGAGCCCCGCAAAAAGGGATCTTCCATGGGCACTGCCCCCTTGGTTCAGGAGGACGCGCCCCAGTCTTCTTTCTTGCCATTGCACATTCCAAACGCTGCGGCTAACCACCCCCCAACCCGCGCTCACCCCCCCACCCCACATGCTTTGCAACCCCCAGCGCGCGCAGGGAGGGTGCCGAGGGCGCGCCGCTGCCCCCAGGCCCCTCCTCCCCTACCCGGCTGGGCGGGCCGCGCGGAATCACGGGGCGGAGGCGGGGTCGCGCCGGAGGCGGGCGCGACGTGCGGGTAGCGCTTGCCACTCGGGCGGACGCGCGGGGCCCAGGCGCGGCGCCGCCTGGGCTGAAATCGCGGAGGCGCGACCGGAGCGCGACAGGGGCTGGGGCGTGGCGGGGACCGGGACGCAGCGGCTTGGGGCCCCGGGGCGCTGCAGGGACCGGTACTTGGCGGGCGCAGCGGTCGGCGGGGCGGGTTCCACGCTGAGCTGCCTCCTCGGACGGCTGGTCCCTGTGGCGGCGGCCCGGGGCGCTGGGGCGCGAGGCCCTTCACCATGTACACTTTCGTGGTGCGTGACGAGAACAGCAGCGTCTACGCCGAGGTCTCCCGGCTGCTCCTCGCTACAGGCCACTGGAGAAGGCTGAGGCGAGACAACCCCAGATTTAACCTGATGCTGGGAGAGAGGAACCGGCTGCCCTTCGGGCGACTGGGTGAGCCCTTCCCTATTTCCCGCCTCCCCGCCCCCAGAGGCGGCCCTCCCACTCCTCCCACGGCCGTAAGAACTAGCGCTTTTGTTTTTAAGGTCGTAAATCTTCCCCTCCTTCATGTCTCGGGCAGATCAAAAATAGATCCATAAAGGTCCAAACCCTTCGTTTTTAATGCCTTCTAAGTCGGATTCGGGGCCAGAGTCTTGGTGCGGTCACCCGAGGCCGCAGCTGCTTGCTGACAATAGCCCGTCCCTGCATCCCGAGGGGCGTCGGCCGCCGGGGCGGAGGACTTGAGGCCGCGTGTTCCCCGATCCCTGGGACCGAAGCCCCCGAATCGGCAAGGTTGGCTGGACCGAGCGCAGGGCGGGGCGAGGCTTTTCAGAGCCGGTGGCCGATGTCTGACTGGAGTCATTTGCAGCTTTTCTGCACTGAGCCTTCGCGGGGACCGAGTAGTTGTGTTGAAAACCCTGAGAAATCCGCTACCGAAGACTCAGATAAACTGTCAGGGGCTTTGAAAGAGATCTGTGGATTCCAAAAGCAGGAGCTTCAGAAGGGATCTTAGCCCAGGAAAGGGTGTCTGATTTTAGCTTTCCTCAGCTTCACCAAAGAACATATTTTCACAGTTGTGCTTTGCATGCTGGAGCCCTGATGGCGCAGTGGTTAAGAGTCGGCTGCTAACTAGAAGGTTGGCAGTTCGAATCCACCGGGCGCTCCTTGGAAACCCTATGGGGCAGTTCTTCCCTGTCCTGTAGGGTCGCTGTGAGTTGGAATGGACTCTACGGCAACGGGTTTGTTTTTTTTCCGGGTTTGCGTTGAATGCAGGTTTTACACGCGACTGGGTGGGCTCTCTGTCCCTCATTCCCATTGCCCTGCTCTCTCCCAAGAGGACCTTTATTCACATGATTCAGCTGACTGGGCAGCACCATATCCACATGCCTATGTGTCTGACAGGCGCAGGAGAAAAGAGGACCAGGGACTTCCTTTTTTAAAGATGTAATCCAGAAGTTGTCTGGATACTTCTACTCACATCCGGTAGGCCTGAGCATAGTCGCATGACCTTGCCTCACTGCCCAGTCATCTGGCAAGTACAGCCTCACGCTGGGTAGCCCTGTTCCCTGCCAGATTTCAGCTGGGATGGGAGCCAAGTCACATTCCCAAAGAAGAGAATCAATACTGAGAGTCATCTCTGCCTTGGAAGGCAACCCCAAGACAGAAGTGTTCTATGCCCAGGAAAGGAGAGGGTTTTTAGAAATTGGTGCGGTTAGAGGTTTGAGAGGTTCAGTGAGCCAAGACTGAAAACAGGCTGTGTGGAATTGACTGGCCCTAGGTCACAGAGTGGAGCCCTGGTGGTGTGGTGGTTAAGCATTCAGCTGCCAAACAGAAGGTCGGCAGGTCGAATCCACCAGCCACTCCTCGGAAACACTAGGGGGCAGTTCTGCTCTGTCCTGTAGGGTCACTATGAGTCGGAATCGACCCGACAGCCGTGAGCGCAGATGAAGGCTGTAAAATTGTAATGGATCGAGGCATGACGCAGTGTTGTGGCATAACCTCGCTGAGACTGTTTTTCTTTGGAATGGTACCTGGGACAGCTTTCTTATAGAAGTTTACACTGCAGAGAGGAAAGTGGACCTTGGTAGTTCTTTGATGTATGATGGTGACTCCATGGAAAGGCTAATTTCAACCCCTAGAAATCTCCAGATACAGGGAATGTGCTGGGAGATTCCCTTTCTGAAGGAAGCCTTCAGCAAAGAGATCACTTTACCGGAAAGAAGGAGAAGGAAAACTGCTTATAGTTGAAAATATTTATTTTCTCCTTGCTCTGTCCACTTCCCTTCCTGACTTTGCTTACTTTTCTATTTGGACTTGTAAAAGCTTGGGTAGAATCCTAATATTAAAAATAGACAAAAATGGCTCTGCCAGGGCCGAAACAGGGCTGGTTGTTGGCATTGCAGTGGTGCTTAGTCCGGGGATAAGGAGCAGAAACCTATAGGGCCTAATCCTAAACAGGTACCACAAATCTAGTAGATGATCAGTAAATGTTTGATTTTTATGGCTAAGTCCCACAACAAAAATCGTTGTATACCTGTAACGTTAGGGATATTTACCGGGCACTTAAAATGCATTGTGGAAGGCAGGTGGTTCAGGTAGGTGTAAGTGAGAGCCAGTTAATGCCTACGTCGGACTGTATGCTGTTCTCAAATGAATTATTCTTACTTCTGGCAACTCAAACGTCCTTAGTTTGGTCTTATTTTGATTTTTGTTACTGAAAATGCAATGCATTTTGTTAGGATTTTAATCAAAAACTGAGGCTTTTGTGTTTATTTGTATCTTTTCTGCTGTAGTTTGATAGAGGAAGGGACATGCAGTAGGACCTGGTGAAAATGAATTTCCCTTTGGGATGATGCACAGAAGAAAGTGCTCAGGAACTCTGCTTTTATAGGCATGGCCTCTCCATGACTTCCCTTCCCTTGCTAGTGGCTCTCCTAGAAGCTTACTTGAGAGGTAGACATTTTTGAGAACAGTATCCTTGACCACTGTAGAAAGCAAGGCTGAGGATGTGGAGAGCATGACTCTACTGAAGTAGCCTTGCTGCGCAGTGACCTCTCCTAAGTCCATAGATGGATTTATTAGTCTGTATATCCCTGAGGGTGGAGTGTGGTGGGGATCAGGGAATGGTGAAATAGACAATACTCTGTAGGCCCTCTGCCGTGACAAGAAGAAACAAAGGCAGCAGTGGTCTTTGGTAGACACACAATGTTGATATCATAATATCCGCTGTGGAGAGGGTAAGAATAGCCAGTGGAACGCTGAAAGAAAGGGGGCCACAGGGACAAGACAACAAAATTGTTCCGTTTCTAGCAACCAGTCCTGAAATGGGAGAAAGACAAACTGGGCATAACACAGCTGTTTTCCCTTTGCATGCTGGTGCTGACATTGCCCCGTTTTCCTTCTGAGCCACCTCTTTCCTTCATAGGTCATGAGCCTGGGCTGATGCAGTTGGTGAATTACTACAGAGGGGCTGACAGACTGTGTCGTAAAGCTTCCTTAGTGAAGTAAGTGTTCTTTAAGACCTGCTTTTTCAATTTTTTACATAAAATTTTTTAACTTCCATGCTGAAGAACTTAAACAAAAATACAGGATTATTTTTAAAGGGCAAAAATACTTGTATTTAAAAAGCAAACAAATATCTGTTCTGGAGCTTCCTCTAAGCTACTTTGATAGCAGTCCAAAGCTCTGCTGTTGCTGCTTGAAGAAGAATATTAACCTGTCTGTCTGTTAGGTCAGGCTCCCTAGGAGCAGAGCCTGAGACAGGGTTTCTTATGTAAGTGATTTACTGGGGAGGGAATCTCAGGAGTAACCTCTCAGGGAGTAGGACAGGGAAAGAAGCCAGTGAAGAGGTGGGTTTAGCTGAAGTCTCGCCTCAGCCCGACCCCTGGGAGGTCTGGAGTGAAGGGCACACTGTCTTAGTTACCTAGTGCTGCATAACAGAAATACCACAAGTGCCTGGCTTTAAAGAATTGAAATGTATTTCCTTACAAAGGAGGCTAAAATTCCAAATAAGGGTCTTGGCCACGTCAGTCCTTCTCTGAGCCTCTCTGCTAGTTTATGGTGTCTGCCGATGATCCTTGGCATTCCTTGGCGTTCTTTGGCATCTCTCTTTCCCACTCTGTGTCTCTGTCTATTCTGTTCTTTTGATAACTCAGAAGTGACTAGGTTTGGGACCCACCTATTCTGCTATGGTCTCATTAACATAACAAAAGAAAACCTGTGTTTTCAAACAGGATCATATTTCTAGGCACAGAGGTTAGGATTTAAACAGATTTTGGGGGGAACACGATTCAGTCCATAACAGGTAACTTAGAGTTGTCATATTTTGAGGCAAGGGGACCAGGCTTCTATACTTCAGTATCAGTCAGTCATTGGCTATAAGGAGAGGTGAAGGACATAGGTTTCCAGGTGTTTCTGGGCAAGGGCAGGTCCCGGGAAAAAGAGTGTGAGTAAGCCCTGGGCAGTCAACTCTAATAGTAGCAGGGAGTCCTCAGAAAGGAGATCTAGGCAGGGTATAACAGTATCTACTGCACTACCCATCTCTGAGCAGGTGGGTTATGTCTAGGTATCACAAAGAACAGTATCATAAGGTGGAAGGAACCAGTATTATACGGGGACTGAGATCCAGGGTCAGCAGCTTGGGTTTTAGCTCCAGATCTTCCTTTTATTACCGTGGGCAAATTTTCTCATCCTTCTAAACCTCAGTACATCCCTTATAACATGGTTGTGAGGATTAAATAAAGTGATGTGTGTACATTGTGTAGCACAGTGGCCTGGTACATAGTCAGTATGTGACCTTGTGCCTTTGTTTCCTTCTCTCTAAAATGGGGATAATGATAGTAACTACCTCAGGGTTATTGTGAGGATTAATTCAGCTAATTTCTGTGATTGAATAATGCCTGTTTCATAGTTCACACCATATACGTGAAAGCTCTTCTTAATGTTATTATTACTGTTATTACTATTGCCACTGCTGTAATTGCTGCCATTTCGGTAGGTAAGCACCAGGTATGGACCCTAAAATCAGAGCTGTAGTAGGTCTTCAGTATTCTTCCCATGACGACTGGTGGACGTGGGTGTGGCTAAAGTGGTCATTTAGGTAAGATGACTCTGGAAGAAGATGACTCAATACAAAATGCTCTTTTCCCACTAAACATTTCTTTCTGGGCTCTACACGTTTGACTAGGTAGAGTGTTAATAGGAATGTTTCCACCTTTTTGTTCAAACTCACTATCCCCAGTAACTTATGCATGCACTCCTTTCTAGGATCTTCCTGAAGTCTTCTTATTACATATTAGGATGCAAAGATTGTTTCATCAGAATCTGGTGTAGAAGTGGGAAGATAGGGGTAACATGATAGTTTATCCAGATTATTCTTTTAGAAACGTGTGTAAAATGTTTATTCAGTCTTTTTTCTACTATAAGTTTTTTCTCTAAAGGTAGAATTTTTGCTTTTGTAAGCGGGAAGCAGAGAATGCTGTAAAAAACAAACAACAATAATGTTCTACATATTTGCGTATTTAGTAGCTAGGATGAGGTAGAGTGAGTACAGGTCCTAGAGTCACAACCAGGTCTGAGTAGGTATCCAGACCTCTGGAACCTTGGACACTTACCCACTCTGAATCTCACTGTCCCATCTATAAAATGGGGACAATGGTGATAATACCCACTCTTGGTCCCTAAGTGGTATGTCACGTGATCTGTCATGGGACTTTGTAAATGGCGACATAATTTACGCAGGCTAGGGCTTGTTATCATTCTCATAGGCTTCCCTTGCGCTCTCAGGTATCTTCCGAGGGGTTGTAGTAATTCCATGAGATGATGCTTCCCTTTGTCATTTTGTCTGGCTTCCATAATTTGATTTGAAAGGACTCCATAGAATTAAAAATATAACATCTCTCATTTTGGTAGGACAAAATGGTGGCTCACAGAGGACAGCCGTGTTATTCATGACCACAGAAGTTAGTGCTGAGCCAGGATGGTTCTGACCTGTACAAATGGGATCCAGAGGCAGTGTGACCAGGCGTCCCTCAGAGGGATTCCCAGAGCCTTGGTGAGGCTATGCAGCCAGCGGCTTCCTCCTGTCACTTCAGGGAGTTTCAGAAGTTCATCAAGGCCCCAAAGCGATAGTCTTAGAGCCCTGAAGGGCCTTTCTTCCCCTGATCCAGGTTGGAGACCTCCTTTTCTCTTGTGAGTGTTTTATCTTTGTCAGTGTATTGAATAAATCTCTCTTTGCGATTGCTTTCCAAATGGGCTTATATGGAAATAGAACAAATGCAAAGGGCTTCCTGCAGATCAGATGGCTTCCAAAAGAAGGTCATCCTACAAAACAGTGATGTGCAACAGAAATAGAAAGCTACCCACACGTATCATTTTAAATTTCCCAGTTTTTTTTTTTTTTTCAATTGCTGTCAAGTTGATTCCCAGCAGCCACATTTTTAAAAGTACAAAGAAACAGGTACAGTTATTTTTAATAATATGTTTCATTTAACCCAGTAAATCCAAGTTATTGTCACTTTGGTGTGTAATCAATATAAAAAATAACTTCCTGATCAAAAGGGAGAAAACGCAGAACAGCATTTCATATTCCCATGGAATCCAGACTTTCTGGAGCGATGGAGGCTGGGTGAACCCCTGAAACTGTTGCCCTGAGATAACCGTTAGACGTTAAGCCAAAAGTATCCCCTGAAGTCTTCTTAAAACCAAACAAGAGTTTAACTTAACTAGTAAAGAATGTCTGCCTTGAGCATTATACTCTTTTAAGAACTATCTGTATGGGATCCAGTTGACAATAACAGCTCAAAAGATTAGATAGGAAACTTAGGGGCAGTGAGTTTATGTTACTGTGAGAGAAATAATTAAAAAAGGTGGGTGAGAATGGTTGCACAACTTGAAGAATGTAATCAGTGTCACTGAATTGTACCTGTAGAAAATGTTGAATTAGCGTATGTTATGTGTACATTCTCAACAACAAAAATAAAATCAAATAAAATTTTTTTTAAATAACTAATGAGATTTTACTTTTTTTTCATTCTGAGTCTTCAGAATCTAATTTGAATCTATCATTTACAGCACATCTTAATTTAGACACTAAATTTTCATTGGAAATAACTTGATCTATATTTAGATTTCATAAAATTTATGGTTGAAAAAGCAGCTTTCCATATCCAGGTTATTCTCAGGTAAAAGTGTTTCAGTAACTAAATTGAATACCAAAAAGTCATTTTCCTTTAATACTCGTATCCACATTGACAAAACCAGTTCACCATTTTTATAAGAATTGATTTGACTTTGAAGCGAAAGTGTATCAGTTTCAAAACTATGTCTGTCAAAGTTAAGTAAATTCACCAACACTTGTGTCAACTTAGTATTATTACTATCAAATTCAAAGCGGTATCAAATAGATTGAAAAGCAACTCTGAATTTTTCAATAGCAACAAAGCATTCTGAAAATTTTTCTTTGGTTTTTGCAACCAGTTTGCAAAATGCTGTCTATTACAGTTAAGGTCTTCTGCATACTGAATCATGTTATAAAAATGTGTAAAGTCATTACTGTTGGTTTATATTATGAAATTGCACATAAATTCTCATACTTGTCTAAGTCACAAATAAGCTTTTCCCTTGCTTGGAGCTTTAAATATATCTTGTTCATGTACAGTGTGATATAGATAACAAAACACTGAGGCACACTGCTGTTTTTTTATCTTTGATTATTGAATGAAGTAGTGAATTATTGAATGAAAATAATAATTTGGCAAGCATCCCTTTTATTTCAAGGAAATCTGAATTGGAGTTAACAGTACAGTTTATCTTTGTACGACTCTTCCATGACCTAATCATCACTGGCAGAGAACACAGTTTGCATTGAATGCATTGTCTTCTGTTTCTTTCAGCAGCTCCATGAACTGGTGAATGCTTGTAGCATTTACAAGTATGTACTGAACCATTTTAGCAACTGTATCCATGACACTTCATAGAGTCTGTTTCAGAAAACTGAGCTCAAATGTTTTCAAAATGTATCACACAGTGGAATGACGCAGTAAGGGAAACATCAGTCTCTTAAAAATCGCAGTAAATCTACATTTTTAAGCTAACTTAGCTGAAGCACTTGCTTTTATTCTCAAGTCGTGATAGAAACTAATTTTTTGTATGGAGATGAAATTCTTCTTTGGTGAAAAAGATTTTAAAATATCTCTACCACGAGTTTTTTTTTTTTTTTGCTTTTTTAGGCTGCAATCTGACAATACTTCATACATTTGGAAGTCCTTTGAGACAAAATATACCTAAAGTATTGATTGGGCAGTGTTTCTTATGTCACATGACTCATCTAAAGATAAAGAAAATTATTTGCAATATTCAAATTTTGAATCAATTAATTTTTGCTATTGCTAGAAAGTCTTTGTACTCTGGGGGCAAATGTGGCTTAATTGAAGATCTTTCACTCTTTTGTAAAATATCTTTTTTAGTCTTTTCCTCAGAATTTCTTTCACTACCTCTCCATCTAAAATGATACCCATTTTTATGCAAGAATCCAAGCCATTTTGTAGCTGACCAAAGTTACAAGTTCAGATCCTATTAAAAATTTGTTTAAAAAAATTTTTATTGGAAATTTAATTCTGATTTTAGACCACTAATTTTATTCGTTCTTTTTTTGACTCCTCAGAGGAAACTGCTTATTAAATTCACTCTGCATTTGCTGAAAATGTCTTTTACACAACAAATCACTTTTTGCTTTTGCTCTGCCCCAGCAAATTACAGTTGCCATTCCCTGTGAGATTTGTGACATACCATCTTGCAGTCCTTTTTTTTTCTTTTTCTGTTCTGGTTTAAGTACCAGCTTCTGCATCTCCACTGGATCCTGCATAAGTTGTATGGTTTCATTTTAAATTTAAGGATTTGTCCATACTTATTTTTTATCTAGAAAAATAATTATGTTTCACTTTAGTTACCAGTTTTGATTTGTACAGCTATCACTGTAACTTGTGCTGTCTGCATAGTAAACGCATTTTAATGTTACATCAATGCATAGAAAAAAATCATTTGAACTGAATCAGTTAGTCATGACTAGATCAGTGGTGTGTTTATGTGTAATGCTTGAACCGAGCTTGCACCTGACACACACTGCACACAATAGTAGTATCTTTAGCCGTGCAGAGAAATGCCACCCTACCAGAACAATAAAGTTGCACTTAGTGGAAAAAATATTTGCACTGCTTCAGTTTTTCAATTAAAATTAAATGAAATTTAAAATTCCATCGCTCAGTTGCATTGGCTATATTTCAAGTGCTCAGTAACCACATGTGGCTAGTGGCCACCATATTGGATAGTACAGATACAGAGTTTAACTTTCAGGAAGTTAGAAATTAGTATTTTTATTTTGTTGTTGCTTTGAGTTGAAGTAACTTGCAAATTCTGTTGCCCTTAACTTTAAAAGAGCTTTATTTTTATCTCCAAGTTGGCTGGTTTTTGTTTTTCATTATTTCTGTCATTTGTTCATAGACTGGGTTTTGCAGGTGAATCATAACACAGGCTTAACATTAGCAGTTCTCTTCTAGACAGAAGAACAGGCACAGCTGAGGGAAGGCCTGTGCATGTCTTTGGTCGGTTCCTCCCTGGCTCTTCGATTTCTGCAGAGCAGGAGTCAGTACAGAGTCAGGACTTAGGAGTTCCGGGCTTGAATCCTGGCTGTGTTATTTACTACATTTGTGATCTTGGGAAATTTGCTTAAATTCTCTGTGACCCAGTTCCTAACTTGGGAAATGTGATGCTAGCGCCACCTGCTCTGTGGTGACTAGAGAGTACCGTATTTTTACGCACATAACGCGTGCCTTCTATGTTTGTGCGCTAATCGCACCCTCCCCCCACGGTGAAGTATGTTCATAAGCACTACTATGCCAATTTTTTTTACATGTTGCTGTAAAAAATTAGCATAACACATTTAAAAGAATACTTCGGGGGAGGGGCGCAGTTGGCAAACAAACATAGAAGGCACGTGTTATTTGCGTTAAAATACAGTAGCTAATAGTGAGAAGCCCTTGGTAAGCATGGGCTTTTATGTTTGTTAAGTGCCATGCTCAAGGCTTGACTTTATCTTCCATTATGTTATGTTCTTTTGGGAAGAGGAGACATGTTTAATTATGACCACTGGCATCCTCTGTCATGTAGAAAGGTTTCTTCTTCATTCTGTCTCTAAAGCCAGGAAGAGCTAAAGGAAAGAAATGAAGAACTAAATTAAGTCTTTAGATAATTCAGATTCCTAAATAGCCTTTCCCCCTAGAAAGTTGATGCCAAGATAGTATCTTTGCTAGCTATCCAATTATTTTCCTCAGTTTTCCACTTTGGTTTTTAGTGTGGGTCTGGGTCAGTCATAACATACTTATTGAAAAGATGTTGGTTCAGGATTACTTCAAGTTAAGTTTCCTAAGAGTTGCATTTTAAAAGGAGCTAAAGTTCTGGGCATTAAGCCCCCTTTTGAATTAACTGGCACATGTCTTTAAGGTTGCATCTAACAGCTGTTCACTGCCCAGTGGTACCTTACAGGTCTCCTCAGGGAGGCCAAGAGCAAATACTGGGACTAGAAGGAGACCAGCTCAGGCCAGCTGGCCCCTCACCACCCCTGCCTCCTTACAGATCTCTGGGGGAAAGCACTGGCCTTTCTGAATAGAGCTCATTCTGGACAGACTGCAATAAGAGTAGAGATTGACCCTCTGTCATCCGCCAGGTTAATTAAAACAAGCCCGGAACTGTCCGAGTCCTGCACGTGGTTCCCCGAGTCATATGTGATATATCCAACTAATCTGAAGACTCCAGTTGCTCCAGCGCAGAATGGAATCCACCCACCAATCAATAACTCAAGGACAGATGAAAGAAAATTCTTCCTGGCTTCTTATAACAAAAAGAAGGAGGGTGGAGAAGGCAACGTCTGGATTGCAAAGTCCTCAGCTGGTGCCAAAGGTGAGTTGGCACTGCTGTCCCCTTCTCGCTTCCCTGCAGGTTCCCATCACGCTTTGTTCAAATCGCATGTCTGATTTTATGAATGACCCTATTCTAATCAGAATCCTCAAGGGTAGAGATCGTGTCAAGTCACATAGTTTTAAACACCCATCTAACTGATGACTTCTAAATGTATGCCTCCAGTCTAGATCTTCCCCTTGAGCAGCAGATGCAACAGCATCCTTGACATCTCTAAAGGTACTTCAAACTTAACATGCCCAATATAGAACTTTTCATTTACTTCCCAACTAGACCCACCCTAACTTGCTCCTCTTTCAGTCTTTCCCACTTAGTAAATGAGCCCACTCTTCACCCGTCCCTGAAGCCCAAAACCTAAAAGTCATCCTTAACTGCTCTTTTCTTTACAATCTATACTAAATGCATAAGCAAGTTTTGCTAGTTCTACCTTCAAAATACATTCTGAGTTAGACTTTTCTTGCCATTTTCACTGCTCCCACCTTCAGTCAGAGCTGCCGTTCTGTCCAGTCTGTGTAACTGCACTGCCTCCTCACTGTCTCCCTTATGGCAGTTCTCCTTCTCTCAGCCAGTGATGTCTTTAAATGATGGTCATGTAACTCCCGGTTCACTGCTTACCAGCTGGCTTCCCAATACAGTTAGAATAAATTCCAGATTCCTGATGGTAGCCCGTACCATTTGACATTTGCCCCTTTCTCTGATTTCATTTCCTTCTATTCTTGGCCTTGCTTATTCTACTGTAGTCACAAGTTTGCTTAACTGTCTCTTTAATACGCCAAACTTGTGTCTGTACATAGAATGTGCTTGCATGAATTATTTTCTTTCTGTCACCTCAAATGTTGCCTTGTCAAAGAAGGCTTTTCTAATCTAAAATAGACTCAGTGTCCATTGCTTTCCATCCTTTTACCATGCTTTATTTTTTAGTCCTTGCACTAACCCCTTCCTAGCACTATATTACATATTTCTTTCTGTCTGCCTCCCCCATCAGAATGTGAGCTCCATATAAACACACACTCTGTGTCTTGTTCATCTCTTGTATCCCACCCTGTATAGACGCTCAATAACTGTGCACTGAATGAGTGCATAGAAGGGGTGAGGTTTATAATATTAACTCAGACTTAAAATATAGGCAGTTCCCAGTGTAATGAGCACATAAACTCAGTCTAGCTCTATAATTACCATCATATGCTCTTTTTGAAACCATTCCATTTTGTGCTGCTTCTATTGCCTGGAAGACCACCTGGCCATTGGTACTCATTTCTGATCTGGTCTAGTGAACCTCACCTTCTTTTCCACCAACCATGAGACAGGACAACCATGCTCCTATAAGTGGGAAATTGGACTCTTACCACAAGCCAAGTACCTCACCTACTTCTCTTTCCCCTCTTGGGACCTCTTCTCAAGTACTGCCTCTAGTTTGGTTCTAATGATAAATGGGGGATTTGGAAGAGGAAATTGTTATTGTTGTTTCTAGTTGCCATTGAGTTGGCTCTGACTCATAGCAACCTTCTGTGTAACAGAACAAAGCATTGCCCAGTCCTGCACCATCTTCATGTTCTTTGATATGTTTGAGCCCATTGTTGTGGATACATTTTGTAAGTCCATCTCACTGAGAGTTTCCCTCATTTTCACTGACACTCTACTTCACCAAACATGATGTCCTTTTCTAGTGATTTGTCTTTACTGATAACATGTACAAAGTAAGCAAAATGAAGGTTTGCTGTCTTTGCTTCAGTGGAGCATTTTGGTTGTATTTCTTCTAAGACTGATTTGTTCATTCTTCTGGCGGTCCATGGTATACTCAGTATTCATTGCCAGCACCACAATTCAAATGCATCAATTCTTCTTCTGTCTTCTTTTTTCATTGTCTAGCTTTCATGTGCATATGAGGCAATTGCAAAGACTATGACTTGGGTTAGGCACACCTTAGTCATCAAAGTGACTGTCGTAGGCCAGGTTGTAGAGAAGCAAAACCAGTAAAGCATATATATATATATAGAAAGAGATTTATATCACAGAAATGGCTCATGCGGTTGTAGAGGCTGGAACGTCCTAAGTCCATGGGTCAGGGTAGAGGCTTCTCCTGATTCATGTAGCCACAGGGGCTGGAGAACCCAAGATTGGCAGGTCGGAGAGCAGGGCTGTTGTTCATAGGCTGTGAAGATCGATGAATTCCAAAGATCAACAGGCAAAACCGCAGGTAAACTGCTAGCTTAAATCCCAGGAACCGGAGGTCAGATGAACAGGAATCAGCTTCAGGATCCAGGATGATCAAAAGCCCACAAGCCTTCCCAGACTATCTGCTTATATTCAATGTAGGCCACACGCCCAAGGAAACTCCCTTTCAACTGATTGGCTGTTCACAGGAGATCCCATCATGGAGGTGATCACATAATATCACATCTCATCATGGAAGTAATCACACCATCATACAACTATCAGACCACTGAGAATCATGGCCCAGCCAAGCTGACACAAAACCTTAACCATCACAGTGACCTATTTGCTTTTTAACACTTTTAAGAGGTCTTTTGCAGCAGATTTGCTGAATGAAGTAATGTCATTTGATTTCTGGACTGCTGCTTCCATGGGCATTGATTGTTGAAATTCTTGACAATTTCAGTGTTGTTGTTGTTAGGTGCTATCGAGTCAGTTCCAACTCATAGCGACCCAATAGGACAGAGTAGAACTGCACCATAGGGTTTCCAAGGAGCAGCTGGTGGATTTGAACTGCCGACCTTTTGGTTAGCAGCCGAGATCTTAAACCCCTATGCCACCAGGTTTTCAGCAACTTCAGTAGACACCCACTATTCCAGATTCTTCCTGTGGATTTGGGCTTGGAGTTAGGTTGGCCATTATGAGGACACCGTATGTCAAGGAGCCTTGGCTGGAGTGAAAACCTGGAGTAAGGTAGGGTCCTTGGCTGAAGGACCTGTCAAATCATGGCAGTGGTTCCACCTGGGTGGTCCCTGGACTCTCACCAAGATAAGACAGAGTGACACCAGCTGGCAGGGAGATGTGGGAAGAGAATAAAATGCCAAATAAAGAAGAAATTTTGCTTTAGGAGTTGAGATCAGTGGTCTGTATTCATTTTGTTTGGAAACTACAAAATGAAACTAATAGGATGAATGAATGGCTTTTATTCTTGTTAAGTACTTATTTAGAACTTATTACATGCTTGGTATAGTTGGTTCAACCTTCAGAATATATCCAGAATCCAGCCACTTTTGACCACTTCTACAGCCCATTTCTGATCTAAGACACTTCATCTCTCACCTGGAGCATTGCTGTCCCTATCCTGCTCTTGGACCTGCCCTGGGGTCTGTATACAACACAGAGTCAGAGATTCTATTAAACAAAAGTCACACCATGTCACATATGTGCTTGGTGCTGTCTCCCCAATGCCAGGACAACACCTGGCACCCAACAACAGTCAGTATATGTATTGAATGAATGAATGAATGAATGAGTGAAAGAAATAATGAGTAATTGAAGATACAGGGATAGACAAGATAGCCATGATCTTGTGCCCTCATGGATCCACATTCTAGTCAGGAAGAAGAATCCTAATGATGCATCTATTTCCAGATAAGCTAAAAGTTGAGATGGGAACAAAGAATGAAAAAGGTTGTGATCTTGCAGTGCCTTAAAGATTCCAAGTTTCTTCATAATTTCTCGAGGTTTAGAAATACAGTTGACAAACACATGGAAACATACTCCACTAGTCATCCAAAATTTGCAAAATAAACGTGAATTTAAAGGGTCATTTTGCACCTACAAAATAAAATGTAAAAACACCTTTCAGTGATACCACTGCTTAGTAGTTTGTGGCAAACTGCACTCTGTTGGTGGCCACACGCAGCCCTTTGAAAAACCGATGGAATAACACAAGAGCAAGACACATTAAGAGTTTATAAGCTTTGGCCCAGTAATCTCATTCTTGAAAACTTACTCCAAGGAAATAATTAAAAAGAAACATGAGTAATCTACAGCAAAGATATTTACTGCTGTGTTGTTGTTAGGTGGCGTCTAGTCGGTTCAGACTCAGCAACTCTGTGTACAACAGAACGAAACACTGTCCAGTCCTGTACCATCCTTACAGTCATTGTTATGCTTAAGGCCGTTGTTACAGTCATTGCGTCAATCCATCTTGTTGAGGGTCTTCCTCTTTTTCACTGACCCTCTACTTTACCAAGCATGGTGTCCTTCTCCAGGGAATGGTCCCTCCTGATAACACGTCCAAAGTATGTGGGACAAAGTCTCTCCCTCCTTGCTTCTAAGGAGCATTCTGGCTGTACTTTTTCCAAGACAGATTTGTTCATTCTTCTGGCAGTCCATGGTATATTCAGTATTCTTCTCCAACACCATGATTCAAAGGCATCAGTTCTTCTTCAGTCTTCCTTATTCATTGTCCAGTTTTCACATGCATATGAAGTGACTGAAAACACCATAGCTTGGGTCAGGTGCACCTTAGTCCTTAAAGTAACATCTTTGCTTCTTAACACTTTAAAGAGATCTTTTGCAGCAGATTTGCCCAATGCAATGTATCGTTTGATTTCTTGACTGCTGCTTCCATGGGCATTGATTGTGGATCCAAGTAAAATGAAATCCTTGACAACATCAGAGTTTTCTACGTTTATCATGATGTTGCTTATTGATTCAGTTTTGAGGATTTTTGTTTTCTTTATGTTGAGGTGTAATCCATACTGAAGGCTGTAGTGTTTGATCTTAATCAGTAACTTTCAAGAAGCAAGGTTGCGTCATTATCTGCATATCGCAGATTGTTATTGAGTCTTCCACCAATCTTGTTGCCCCGTTCTTCGTCATATAGCCCAGCTTCTTGGATTATTTGCTCCGCATACAGATGGAATAAGTATGGTGAAAGGATACCCTGGCGCACACCTTTCTAAACTTTAAACCACACAGCATCCCCTTGGTCTGTTCAAATGACTGCCTCTTGGTCTAAGTACAGGTTCCTCATGAGC